TCTTATGGTGTTATTGTTTAAAGGGTAGAGAAGAGACAAGCATTTTAAAGTAAAGGGAAGTGCTAGTGAGATCTCCCCTTTACAAGGTAAGTAAATCCCAACCCAAGTTGAGAACTCTCTTGAGTAGAGATTGAATAGAAATTATGTATGCATGTTATATGTTATGTTATTGAGATTTGAGATGGAGGTGACTATTTGCTTTGCAGTTGTTAAATACACTTGAGAAGTGAGTTGTGTGTTAAGGATGTAGTTTGAGATGAAATTGGAGGAGATTGAGAAATCTTTTTGGAAGTGTTATTTTATGACAGGGATTATAACTTTGTAAGGGAGTTTCCTCCCATGTTGGATGGTTCAAGAGAGGAGTAGAACTATAGATAAAGTAGAGTTTATGCATGCACATTAGTTGTTTAATGAAATGCCTAAGAGAATCATGAGCATGAGTAGTAAACCTTAATTCTTGCAACATTGCATGTTGGCATTTCATGAGTGCATTAGTGGAGAAGAACCATCCATATGCATTAATTGTGCATTGAGAAGTGGTTTGAGAAAGAGTAGAGAACTTTGTGAATGAACTACTCTAAGAGTAGAAAGAACGAGAAAAACGCTAAAAGCAGGTTGGTGCTTTGTGATCTCCACCCGATAGACACTAAAAGCGGGTTGGTGCTTTGTGATCTCCACCCGATAGTTACTAAAAGCGGGTTGGTGCTTTGTGATCTCCACCTGGTAGTTACTAAGAGCGGGTTGGTGCTTTGTGAACTCCACCCGATAGTCACGAAGAGTGGGATGGTGCTGTGTGAACTCCACCCAGCCGTGCCTCCAGTAAGATGAGGCCGTGACATATAACAGAAGTTAAGTAAAGAGAGCTGTGTGAAAGAGAAATAGAAAAGAGTAAGGAAAGAATTAAGAGAAAGAGTTACGGGGACAGTCGAGTAGAGGATTTACTTACTGAGCATTATTTTGTGCTCACCCCGTTGTTTTTCTTTGTGATTGCAGGATCTAGGTGAGAACGCGGTCGGATGGGCGTTAACAAGCGAGGAGCAATAGCTACACTGTTCACTGTTTTAATGGCATTTTGTAAATGATATTCTATTTTGTATAAAGAATGCTTATATGTAATAAAAGAAAATTTTGGGCCTATTTACTCTTGCTAATATAAATGTATTTTACTTGATATATTTCTATGAGTCTCCTAGTATAAAGCAGTTATTACAAAGCCCATGCCTATTCCATATAGGAATAGGGTTTTAACTCTAGCACTATATAACTGCAAGTTGAGTTAAAAATATTGATTCATTATTCATTCAATCATTATTGAATAGAAAAAGGCAGCCATCCCTTTACTCTCACTCTCTCACATTTCCCTTTGTGTGAATCAAAGTTTTTCTTTGATTCAACTTGATTCTTGAAGCCACCCCTTTGTTCTAGCAAAACAAGGGCTGGTTCTTCGGATTTTCTTCATGTGGATCACTGTTCCTGCGGTTCTACGTTGAATCGGTAGAGAAGAAAAATTCAGAGACATTTGAAGGAGCCTCCAAACGTGTGTAAGATCTCTGATCCTTGAATGGATTGATATTATTTTTGTGCAGAATTCTGATTTAACATGTAAACTATATAATCTATACCTGGATCTTGGCATAAAAGGAATCGATTCATCCTTTTGATCTTTGTTTTTTCGCTGCGTTGTGTAGATCGATTCCTAACAACTACACCACTATGTACACACGACACTTCAGTGATCTCAAGTCTTAGGATCACATGCACCACTATTCGTAAGAGGATTTGTTCCGTAGACACTAGGTTTACCCTTTGCATGGAATCTGTGGGTCAGTCCAGTGAACTTGCAATCGACAAGCACCCACACGTTGTAGTAGGTTGTCATCTAACAACCTTGACATGCGAGACATGTCACTACCTTTCAGTAGGGTCATTCAAGTCTTATTGTATTATCTGTGCATTAGGTCAAAATCATATTGAGGCTACGACATTTCTAGAATGGCCACTATAAGTGCTCATAAGGTCCTCACAATCAAGATTTTAAACACATGATACGCTCATCACGAGTCTACCATTCTAAGGACATGTATCACTACACATAATTAACTACACGATATAGTAATAATATTGCCTTTACATTAATAGCTAAATATGATACATAAGAGTCAATTTACAACTAAGTGATTGGCTCTAGGGCAACTACCTAACACCTCCAACTAAGATTTTCCAACCATTTAAGAATTTGATCTAGAAAACCCAAATGATGCAAGACAAACCAATCAAAAGTGCATCCAAGGAATATACCCATGCTCTCCATTTTCTTAAACTCTCTCTTTTGCTTTACATCTCTGAAAACTACTCTATTCGGCCCATTGAGAGCTCCTAACCAAGCTAGAATGGCTCCACGTGCAACTCTTTTGAATCTAGGCATGTTTGGAATGTGTTTAGGATTGATCTAGAGTGATTTGGTGAAGATTTGAGTGAAAACTGTTGAGAGAACATGGAGGTTTTGTCGTCATTCTTTGCAAAAAGTGAAAAGTCTGTATTTATATATTTCGCATGGAACAGCTACTCATGATAGCAAGAAAAGCATTCCTAAGGTTATCAACCCTAAAAAATTATGGCAGTTAACAGGGACAGGCACTCGCGAAGCGTTCCTAGGTTTTTGAACCTAGGATTTTGGCCGACAACAAGAACGAGTGTTCCCAAGGTTGAATGACTGTTCAGACTACAACAGACAGGGGGAACTACCATTCCAACTGGAATGCTTAGAAAATGTAGAAAAAAATTTATGCATTTTTGACCCTTTTTGCATATTGACTAAAATATCATCAGATAAGAATATCCTAGACATTTTAATCACTTGGAGGAATTTTCATGTGTGAAAATGTATCAAATTAATAACAGCCACAAGATTGCATTAACTTGATTTTCTTCAATCAGAACACAACAATTTTATCATCATACATGTATCACAAGTAAAAAATTTGTCCTTTTATAAACTAAGTTGTAAAAGTCTTACATAAGAATAGAATGAGTTCTCCATCTCCATGAGAAGACTTACAACTTAGGGATTTTTAAGTCAAACCTCTAATGTCCAATGACAGGCCACTTAGTCAAACCATAGATTTTTGTTGCCTTTTCGATAAACAAAAGGTATGCTTCTATCAATGGGAAGCTAAATCGCATTGAGTTTTTCCTTAATGATGTCAGATTAGACTTAACTAATAGTTTTGGCTTTTTGATCAACAAAGGTCAAAGATGTACAAGAGGCAAACTTAGAGAAAGTGCAATATTTTAAATTCACTAGAGATATGTACTATCTACTCTATGGATCCAAGAGTTGCATTGAGGTCAATTGTTGGTGCCATTTGATTGTGTAATTGGTTTGTTTGCACAATTTATACTTGAGGATTAGTGGTTAGCGCCATTAGTTGGTATAAATTGAGTTTGTGGCCTACCTATATCAACCATGTTTTGGCTTTTCAATCAACGAAGGTTAAAAATGGAATTGATAGGATCTTGGCCCACTAGGAAAGCCAACAAGCTTTCCTGAGTCTAATAGTGGGGGCTATTAGGACTTAAGGAAAATAGTGGGAGCATTTAATTAATTAAAAGACCTTGATTAATTAAATTTTATATCATGATATTAACTCGCTTTATTTTGCACTTGTAGGATCTCAAAATGACAAACAATGTTAAGTTATTACGATCGTTCATAAACACGAGAATTGAGTTTGATGGTGAAAATTTCGTTGACTGGTATAGAAATGTCAACTACTTCCTTAGGTCAAACAAAGGCTTATACACCATTGAGCAAGCTATCTCACCAAAGCCAGCTGGTAGTTTCATCCAACAGACTAGATGTTCACACAAGACCAATGTTGAGTTGACAAGGTGCATTGTGTTAGTGTTAATGATACCATTATTGCAATTCTAGTATCGGGATATGGACTTACCTACTATTTTCAATATACTTCATGATCAAGAGAAGTATATGGTATCACAATCATTGGCCAGATGCAAGATGGATAAGGGTGCCAAAGTTAAGCCTCATATACTCAAGATGTTAGAGTATATTGAGACACTCAAGGCTTTAGGATGTGCTCTTGATGAAGGTCTGGCAATAGATTTAATCTTACGATCCCTACCTGATACTTTTTCTCCATTTGTTCATGACTATGTTAAGAACAATGAGAAGAAAACTTTACATGAGCTTCTAAAAGAGTTAGAGGCTACTGAGCTTGGCAATGAAATGTATAAGGCATTAACATTGGTTGAAGCTGACTCAAGTGTAGATCATGAAGCTCAGGAATCATTGGATGGAACAATTGTCAAAAGGAAGATCATTTGTCCTCATCGTGGCCATCCTGACTACTGGATAAAACATTGCAGGGACTTCCTAGTGAACAAGAAAAAGATTGTTGCTGGATCTTCTTCTAAAGGTATGTTCATGATTGAAATAAACTTATCTCCTAACACATCTTAGGTCATTGACATAGGATGTGCATTTCGCATTTGTACTAATGTGTAGGGATTGCGATAGAGTAAATCGCTCAGCCAAGGGGAGGTAGACCTATGTGTTGGGAACGAGGCCAGAGTTGTTACTCTAGTTGTAGGTATTTATCAGTTATCTTTGCCTTCGGGAAGTTATGGATTGTTATTATGTACCTTCCATTTCTAAGAATATTATTTTAGTGTCCACTTTGGACAGTGTTGCATATCATTTTAGTATACCTAATGGATTGATGCCTTTTAGTTTGAATGATATTCATTATGGAAATGCTAAGTTACATAATGATTTATATGTTCTAGATATGGATAAAGGGATATTCAATCGTGAAACTAAGAAAGCTAGGAATGGTGATCTTAACCAAACATTCCTCTGACACTTTAGGCTGGGTCATGTCAATCAAACTCGCATAGTAAAACTCTATAGGTATGAAGTCTTTGACCCAATCAATTTTCAATCATATGAGATATGCGAGTCATGCCTTCTAGGCAAGATGACCAAGTCGTCTTTCACTGGAAATAGTGAAAGATCTACAGAACTGTTAGGGATCATCCATAGTGATGTATGTGGTCATATGACAGTTCAGGCAAGAGAAGGGTGTTCTTACTGCATCACATTTACTAATTATTTTAGTAGACATGGTTATGTCTATTTGATGAGACATAAATCTGAATCGTTTGACAAGTTCAAAGAGTTTATGAATGAAGTACATAATAAGCTCAGATAAAGTATTAAAGCTCTTCGGGCAGACCAAGAAGGTGAATACTTAAGCTTAGAGTCTGGTGGATACCTTAAGGAATGTGGGATAGTATCACAACTCACACCTTCTTATATGCCACAACATAATGGTGTATCAGAAATGAGGAATTGAATGTTACTTGATATGGTTCGTTTGATGATGAGTTTGGCTGATCTACCTGCAACATTCTAGGGCTATGCCTTGGAGATTGCAATTCACACACTAAACCGTGTGCTGTCCAAATCAGTGGATAAAACTCCATATAAACGATTTAACGAGCGAAAGCCTAAGTTATCTTATTTGAGAGTTTGGGGTTGTAGGGCTTATGTCAAGAAATTGACTAGAAATAAGCTTGGCCCAAAATCTGACAAATGTATCTTTGTGGGATATCTCAAGGAAAACCATGGGATACTATTTCTATTAGCCAAAAGAGTGAAAGGTTTTTGTAGCTTGATCTGGGTATTCTTGGAAAAGGAATTTATCCAAAATAGTACAGGAGGTAGAAAGGTCAAACTTGGTGAAGTTCCGACTCCACAAGATATGGCTGATAATGAACAGGCAAATGTACTACCAGAAATGGAGGAACATCAAGAGTAGGTCACTCATAGATTATGGAAGAAAGTGATCCAACTCAGACACAGGAGCTACATAGGTCTGGTAGAGTACGTCATGAGCCTAAGAGGTATGGATATCTTGTGACTCAGCACGGCAATGTACTGGTTTATGGGGATGATGAAACTCAAACCTACGGTGATGCTATATCGGTTTCGGACTCTGATAAATGGCTTGAGGCCATGAAATCTGAAATGGATTCCATGTACCAGAACCAAGTCTAGTCACTGGTGGATTTACTCGATGGGATAAAAATCATAGGATGTAAATGGCTCTTCAAGAAGAAAACAACATGGAAGGTAACATGCATACCTATAAAACACGGTTGGTTGCCAAAGGTTTCAAGCAAAAGCATGGCATAGACTATGATGAAACCTTTTCGCAAGTAGTAATGCTAAAGTCTATTCGGATGATGCTTGCAATAGCTGCATACCATGATTATGAAATTTGGCAAATGGATGTCAAAACTGCTTTTTTGAATAGAAACCTTGAAGAGGATGTCTATATGACATAGCCCGATGGTTTCATTTTTGAAGGTCAAGGAGGGAAGGTATGCAAGTTGCAAAGGTTCATTAATGGACTTAAGCAAGTATCAAGAAGCTGGAACATTCATTTTGACGAAACCGTTAAGGAAATTCGGTTTCATCAAAAACGAAAATGAGCCCTGTGTGTACTTAGTGGGAGGGTAGTGGCATTCCTAGTATTGTATGTCGATGACATATTGCTTATTAGGAATGATATACCAAACTTGCAGATGTTAGAGACTTGGTTATCCAAGTGCTTCTCCATGAAGGACTTAGGGGAAGCAGCCTACATCCTCGGTATCAAGATCTATCGTGATAGATCTCATAGGTTGCTTGGCCTAAGTCAGAGTACATACATTGATAGGATACTAAAGAAATTCGGTATGGAAGAATCCAAGAGGGGATTCCTTTCGATGTCACATGATGTTTATCTCTCTAAGGACATGTGTTTGAAATCACCCAATAAGAAAGATAAGATGAACAGGATACCATATGCATTCGCTATAGGATCCATTATGTATGACATATTATGTACTCGGATTGATGTCTCATACACTCTAAGCATTTGTAGTAGATATCAATCAGATCCTGGTGAGCATCATTGGATCGCAGTCAAGAACATTCTTAAGTACCTGAAGAGGACTAAAGATATATTCTGGGTTTATAGAGGAGAGGAGGAACTCACTGTAAGAGGATATAGTGATGCCAATTTTCAAATTGACAGGGATGATTTTTTATCGCAATCAGGTTTTGTCTTTTGTCTCAATGGAGCTACAGTGAGCTGGAAAAGCTCAAAGCAAAGTATTGTTGCTAGCTCTATTACAGAATCATAGTACATTGCGCTGTTGGATCAAGAAGTTCATTATTGAACTTGGAGTGGTTCCAAGCATTTTTCATCTAGCATAGATATTCTATGATAACAATAGGGCCATTGCTCAGGCCAAGGAACCACGATCTCATCAAAGATCCAAACACATTCTTAGACGTTTTCACCTTATCAGGAAAATTGTTAAGAGGGGAGACATGCAAATAAGCAAAGTACCTGCCGATGATAATATCTCGGATCCGATTACTAAAGCTCTGTCACACTAGAAGCATGATAGGCACTTGGCGTCATTTGGTATTGAATACATAAATTATTGGCTATAGGTGCAAATGGGAGATTGTTTGTGTAGGTGCCCCTGAGCTAATCATATTGTTGTATGTTGACTCTTTGGATCATGAGTATTCAATATATGAAAGGCATTGATTTTATTATGTAAAGTATATTTCATATGTATGTATTAATATATACCCTTATAGTAGTTGAACTGTGATGAGGGAATCAAGCAGCGATAAGTCTTGATTGTGAGATCCCTATGATCACTTATGGTGGCCATTCTAGAAACGTCCGTAGTCGGAGTATTATCCTGACTTAGGGCACATATAATATGGTAAGACTATCATAACGTTGAATGACCCTACTGGAAGGTAATGACTGATCTCACATGTCAAGGTTGTTTGGTGACAACTTGGTGCAGCGCATGGGTGCTTGTTATTCACGAGTTCGCCAGACTAACCCATCAGAGGATTCCATATAGATGGTAACACCAGTGTCCATGGAATACATCCTCTAACAGATGGTGGTGCATGTGGTCCTTATACTTGAGATCACCGAAGCATCATATGTACCTGTTGGTGTAGTTTGACACTTACCAAATGTAATCTTGGGAGAGTATAAGTACTAGAGTAATTGGCTACATTAAGAAGTACATCACGACTATGGTGGATCGATACAGGATTCATCACTCCTGTGTACAGGAGATATTATTGCAGTGAGATTCCTATGAAGGACAATGACCTTTGAATATGTGGCCACAGTGGAATCAAGTTGAAGGTCGATTGGTCTGATAACCGAATCTAAATAGGTCAAGGTGGTTTATACTTGAAGCCGAAATTACTTCTATGCTTAAACCTTGATGTGATTGTACAATAACCATACTATTGACAGGTAGCGAATACGCTGAATCCGAATATGTTAGTGGCTCTAATGTCTTATTAGGGGCCAATCTTGGCTTGTGTGTAATGAGACGATTGATTGGGTGTCGATCTCAATATTAGACACTGCCGGCATGATAAGGAGCCTTCGGGTCACACACATAAAAGGCAATCTAAAGAAGATAATATGTGAGGGGCATTTTCATCATTTCTTAATGAAGGGGTATTTTGTTCCGTTTTCTGTCTCTTATGTTGTATCTCTTTCTTTTCTTTCTTCTTTTTGGTTTGCTTATCAGACTAGGTTGATGCATGAATTTGAAACCCTGGCCGTGTGAGTAGGTACAGTCTTCATCTACATGCACTGCTGGCAGACTGTCCAAATACTGTATCTCTCTGCTATTGCTGCTCGCTCGTGGTGGCATGCATGTAGGTATGCTCTGCTGGGTACAGTCTTCATCCATATACACTGCTAACGGACTATACAAATACTGTATCTCTCTGCTGATGTCGTTCGCTTATGGCAGCATGTATGTGGGCATCTTTGTCACTCACAGGTTCCCCATCACAAAAACCTTATAACATAGTGGTGTGCTGTCGCAGGCAACCAAAATTAAAACCTAAAAACACATGTAGTAGTGTGAGTAAGGATCGTTCCCACGGAGAGTGTCTAGCCAAGTTTTATGTTACGTGAACAAGGCTGGGGGGTTTGAGTAAAACGGAAACAATTTCAGGAAAAACAATTCAAATTAAATTATCGAAATCAATCAAAATAACAAACCTTAGTGTAAGTCAACATCGACCATCAGAATTTTACAGCTGATCATCGATGCAAGTATATATCAGTTGTTACTTTGAGTATTCACCGTTGAAACTATTTTCCTATCTCTCCTTAGTTGCAGTTAATTAGGAAACAAGCGATCTAATTAATCTTACTACTAAACAACCCAAGACAAGCGCTAAAGGTTTAATCTAGTGGCAACCTTAAGAACTAAAGAGATCGATGAAGCTGAGCAACACAAACACAAGCGGTTGTATTTAATTCAGTCGAGTGTTCTTCTTAAGATAATTCCTAACGCAGCAAATTCTTAACTCTTAGTTACGCCCAAATTAGAGGGATCAAACAATTACAGATTTGATATCTAATTTAGCAATAGATTGCAGCAAATAATAAACTAGTAAGCCTCCTAGTAATTAAATGAAACAATCATGAAAATAGGCATAGAAGAACATCCAATACTCAAAACATATATTGAAGACTAAAAAAAACATATTAGATCTCACAATTTTATTTATTCCGAGGACTCCGTTTCCTTCGACCAAGTTATGAAAATTTAGCTACTCATGTGTAACATCTACTGAAAACTGTACAATGCATGCATAATATCAATAGAAAAGTTGGGCCCAAAGTTTTCTTTTCATTACAAAACATGTGTCTTTTATACATAAAGAGTACAATTTACAAAAATGTATTTTAAAAGACAAAACAGGGGAAACAGTGTAGCTATTCCTCATTGCTTGCCGACGCCCCTCCGACCGCAACATCATCTAGAACCTGCATCCACAAAGGAAAATAACGGGGTGAGCACAAAATAATGCTCAGTAAGTAAAACTCTCTATCTTTCTGTCCCCGTATGAATAACTCTTAATTCTTTCCTTATGCTATCTCTGATTCTATTTCTGTTTCTAATAACATCATGGCCTCATCTTACCGGAGGTACGGCCGGATGGCGTTCACACAGCACCATCTCACTCTCTATGGCTATCGGGTGGAATTCACACAGTACCAACCCGTTCTTAGTGACTACCGAGTGAGGATCACAAAGCACCAACTCGGTTATTTCTAACTATCGGGTGGAGATCACCTAGCGCCTACCCGTTCCTCATGAATTTTGGGTAACGATCACCAAGCATTTACCCGTCTCTAGTCACTATCGGGTGATGGTCACAAAGCATCAACCCGCTTCTACTAAATGTCGGATGATGATCACAAAGCATCAACCTACTTATCTATCACTAACCGGGTAGCGGTCACAAAGCATCTACCCATTTCTACTACTCATCGGGTGACGATCACAAAGCATCGACCCATCACTCTAAGGGCTATTCGGATGATGATCACCAAGCATCAATCCGATTCCCATAACGGTCGGGTGATGATCACAAAGCATCATCCCAACTATACTACTCTTCTAATTCATTCTATTGTAGCATTTTTCAATGCTCTCTACCCTTAGAGTAATTTTACCCACTAAGCTCTCTACTCATAGGGTAATTGCATAAACCATTTCCTTACACTTTCTTAGGTCACTTTTCCATGTACAACTAGTGCCTATGGATGGTTCATCTTCACCAATGCACTTATGAGATGCCAACATGCAATGTTGCAAGAATTAAGGTTCATTACTCACACTCAAACCTCTATTAGGCATTTCATCAAACAACTCATGTGCACTATAAAACTCTATCATAGCCATGATTCTAAAA